GCAACGTCCGGCGCTGCTCGTGTCTCCAAAGTAGCCATCTGAAAAGCCCTGCCTCCTACCGCAGGCGCCTCCGCACGACCCTGACGGCCGTCTGTGATCCTCAAAGTTGCAGGGGCAGGTGCCATCACCCGTCCTGCTGAAAGAAAATTGGGGCACTGGGCCTTCTTGTGGCCCCGCTGATTGCAGTGAAAACATATCAAGTCTGATCCCTAGGTGATGGTAATAGTACAATCTCTGCTAAAATGACCAGTCCGACCGCACCTGAAACAGCCAGACTCACCACCACTACCACTCCTGCACGCACCCCCGTGCATCCTACCACACTTGCCGCATCGAATGCGGTCCTGATGATCCCTCGATCTTGAATCCGATCCCTTGGGCCTTTTGCCCGAACTCACGGCTACCTGAACCTCATCCGACTTCCTCTTCCGGATCTGCTCCAAATCAATTTCCCTCTCCCTGGCCTGAGAAATCATATCTTCCAGCGTCTTACAACCGGACCTGCTCAACTCCCTGATGTCATCCCTCAACATCTCATGATATCGTGCCTTCTTCATCTCCTCATCCGCGACATACTACGGAACAAGAAGGGCTCTCTCCCTGAACTTGGTGGTGATCTCCGCCACAGTCTCAGTAGTCTGCACCTCAATAATCGGCGAAAACTCCGCTCTGAACCTAGCTGAGAAATCACTCCAAGTCATCATGTCCAACGCGGCATCATCACCCAAAGCATGACCAATCTCCTCCCACCAATCCCTCGCTCTGTCCTTCAGAAGACAGGAAGCGAGTCTGACCTTGTCCTCCTCAGGACACCGGCTCGTACGGAATGCGTTGGCAACATCAGCCAACCATCTGCTACTAGCGATGGGGTCCCTAGCCCCATGATAATCTGGTGCCCCGCAAGCCCTGAACTCCCGAAATGTCAAGGTATGCGCTCCCAACAAAACCATCATCTCAGTACGGAAGGCTCCCAACCTCTCATCCAAAATCTCCAATATACCCTCCTTGACCGTGCCAAAGATCACAGGAGTCTGAGCTAGAATAATGCGCGTAACCTCGGCTGATATCAACTCTCTCATCCGCTCCTCGAGCTGCTCGGCCCCTAAACCCGAGCCCAATCCCCCACCGGCGCCTGATCTGCCCGCTGGTCCCTCTTGCAATGTTACCATACTGAAACATATAACATAACCATTATCAGAATACTGCTCACTGCTGCGAGACCAAACATACTCACTACCAGGTTCCCGGTCTTGTCTCGGCCATTCGCGAATCGAGTACGGATCCTCTGCTTTCAGTAGTACGGGCCCATACTACCTTCCACATCTATCCGTACTTTCCTCAAGAACTGCTTTGACTCCACCAGGTCCCTTTTCTACTACTACTGCTCCCAGCACTACCTCATCCTAAGCTTACCCTAGGGAAACCTTTGACTCAACTCAAACCAGTCCTCAGCTACTGAAGGCCTCCTCGCAATGCCAATTAGCCATCACCTGGATACCATCACATGTAACGAGGCTCAGATAATCCTTCAAGTAAAAGACTCGTTCCTACAACGGTTGGACTCAAACAAGAGCTGCGCAATAGGACCAAATCCAACACTCTGAGATTATTCAACCCTGATCACATGTGACGTGATGTATCCACCTAATGGCTAACTCCCATCACTTAGAATCCCACAATGCACAAAGCAAGCAGCATTCAGACAAGGGAAAATCTAACCATAACATACTCAAGCAATCATATCCACATAGCAAGAATCTGAACTAGCATGCAACACAACTCATAAACTTAGGCATAACCTAATCAGGCTATCCTACTACTGACTATTCAACACCATCATGCAGATCAAAAGCACATATAACAGGCACATAAGGCATCCTCCCTAGATCCTTAGTCCTAATCTAGCATGCTGTTATATTAATTGATAATCAAACCATAAACTTGTATGGGTATTTTAGGGTACTTACTTGAGCTCGGTTAATTGCATGCACCACACCTCTTTTTCTTTCTGAATTCGTTTTGCTTTTCTAAAACCGTTTTTTTTTATTTTTTTATTTTTATTTTTTACAAAACTGTCTTTCTATTTTGAAAACTTCTTTACCAATTCCTCAGTTTGAGTTAAGACACACCCGAGAGCATGTCCGAATCCCTCAAACCAAGGCTCTGATACCAACTTGTAACGACCCAAAATTTAAGACCAAAAATTTCATTTTAATAAACCATTACTTAAAGTAAAGTCATCATTCCAAAACATAATATGAGTATAAGTTTTCAAAACACATGTCCATTATTAGAGTAAACATTCCCAGGTTGTCTAATCTATGGTGTGTGCCATGCGATCACCCCGAGCTCTTCCCTCTGCTACCGGAAGTACCTGAAACCAAAACTGAAAACCGTAAGCACGAAACTTAATGAGTTCCCCACCCTACCACATACCATGCATAACCACATACTGCACATACTGGGACACGCCCACTATCTTGGGCCTCGCCCCTACCTCGGGCCTCGCCTGCTACAACGACCCCGCCACTCCAGGCCCCGCCTGGCTTCGAGCCCCGCTCGGATACATTTTTGTTTTACTTAGGCCTCGCCTGTCACAGGGCCTCGCCCGCCAACAAATAATAACACATAAACATTTCACAACACATAACTAACACATGCAACTGGTTATGTCCTAAGGCCTCGCCTATCCTGGGCCTCGCCCATGTCCTGCTACTGATGAGTCATGGGACCCCATCCACGCTCCTAATGGTAGTGAGGTACGAGCCTAGCCCACTCTCACTCCTATTCTAGTTTGGGCCTCGCCCCTATTCTGCTACTAATGAGATATGGAACCCCATCCACACTCTGCTATTGGTGAGATACGGGACCTCGCCCACACTCACCTCCTTACCAGGCACATACATGTATCACACAGACAACAAGTATAAACTATCATATAAACAATTCCTTGGGCACCCGCCCGCTATTACTGGACCTCATCCTGAAAATCATACTAGCATATTGTGCCTAGGGCTAACCCCCAGGTCTTCTACTCATAACTACATGGGCCGGCATTGTGGCCTTAGACCTATTCGTAGAAAGGGAAACTCACCTGCACTGGCTGAACTTGCTGATGATCTCACTAGTTGCTGCCCGACAACTCACGGAACTCCTGCTCCCCTTGCTCCCTGAACTACCAATATCAATGCAACACTGAGTCTAACTGACCCCCGAAAGATAACCAAGTCAACCCTGGTCCAAGGTCAAAGTCCTAGTCAAAGTCAACCTTCCAGGTCAACCCTACTCGCCGAGTCACCCTACTGACTCGCCGAGTTCAAAATGATCAGATTCCTTCCATTCGCGACTCGACTCGCCGAGTCTACCGATTTCTGAGTCCTGACCTGTCCAACTCACTGAGTCTCCATCCGACTCACTGATTCGAGTCTCAACTCGAAGGGTTTGGGGTTTCGCGACCTGACTCGCCGAGTCCAAGAACAGACTCGCCGAGTACAAGGCAATCTTCATACGACTCAACGAGTTGTTCATCCCACTCGTCGAGTTTCTCCACAACTTCATGCTACTCGTCGAGTCCCTTCAGTTCTCCTTACATGCAGAGGACTTTTGAGTCATGCGTGGACTCCAAACTGTAGATCTACCCTTCCCAAGCCTATTCCTCACGTAAAGTTGCAAACTTTACGTGTAGAGAAGGAGATCTAGGCAAAATATGCCATAAACTAGGGTTTAAGGCCAAGGGGCTTCAAAATCGACTCAAGGGCTGATACTTTTTGCTTCTCCAGGCCATAACACACTTGGATTTGAAGTAGCAACTCCAGATCCGGCTTCTAACCCATAAGGGTGGCTAATCATGGCTTAAAAAGCCCAAAACTCACAACCAAATTAGATCTAAGGGAAGGAAATGACTTAATACCTTCAATACCTCAAAAAGACTCCACAAACTCCAGATCTGAAGCCAATCCTTGAGGCTTCACTGATTCCCCTCCCTCTTCTTCCTTCAAATCACCCAAAAATGGCTTGGAAGCTTGGATGCACAACAATGGAGGCTTAGGCTTCGTTTTCTGAATGAGGGATGATCTAAGGAACCCTAATGGAGAGAATAAGAAGCTTAAATAGCGCCCAAAGTCCTGAATTTAGGGTTTTCCTCGCACAGACCAGACTCGCCGAGTCCACTTGGCCGACTCGCCGAGTTGGCCACTTACACCTTGACCCGGATCCCGCTCGGACTCGCCGAGTCGACCCATAAAAATTAGGGCTTTCTTTCCTTTCTTGGCCTTTAAAACTTTGGGTGTTACATTGATGTTGGGAAAGATCTTGAGTTTATACTTTCTCACAGTTCCAAGGGACAATGCCCCTGGCGGGGTCTAGGGGCAACGCCCCTAGCAGGGTTTAAGGGGCAGAGCCCCTGGCGGTGGTTCTGCTGACCGGTCAGCGGACGGGGTTCCAAAGGATAGCACCCTGAAACCTAAACGGATTTCTATATAAGGAAAAAGTTCACCCATGCATTTTCCTACCAAAAAGTCTTCTGATGACATCACGATGATGTATGCTTCGGTTATGTGCTATAACTAATCGTTTTGGCGCCATTTTGAAGACAACCGATTTTAACCATTTTTCTTACATGTATAAATAACATGTGAATAATCCAAGAAAAAGGTTGAATTCTGGTACATATGAATGAGAATTTGAGAAGATAAAGATTAGTACATTGGTGGAAATGGGTGACAGAGAAAACGAGAGGAGGGAGCTAGGTTTAGGTGATAATGGAGGAGAGGATGAATGAGAATTTGTGAAGATAAAGATTGTGACCGTTATACCCTTTTTTTCCCCAAAAGAAAACAGAAATGATTTATTTTTCATTGCAATTACATGTGGGCATCTTACATACGCTATATTGGATATGTTGGCATCTATGTCGACATAATGTCTATTGCGACCTGTAAACCCGTAAAATATGAGGCCATACCCTCGTTTAAAAGGTCAAATTAAATTAAAGAGTTAGACAAAAATAACTATAGTGACATTTTAAAAGAAAATATTAGTACATAGTACCATTTTGTAGTACAACTCCATCAACAGTCAACCAAACTATCCTCGCCTTATTACAACAAGCTCTGCTCTGCTGCACAAGGATGGTAATGGCGACTTCTCATCTCACCTCAGGTTTTGCCATTGCTTAGTCTATCGATATTTGACAGACACTTACTTAATTGATTACACATTCAAATTCCAATTAATTGCATTGCAGCATTTTCTGGATTCTCTCCGAGCTTACAATGCCCACACAGGCAGGTTAGTTTTCTCTGTTCGACTTTGCATCAAATATTTCAACGTGGATATGTCCCAAACTGGTTTTCTGAAGTTGCTTCCAAATAAAGATGCAATTTTTTTTTTCTCATCTTCTAACTACATTTATTTATATTACAGAGGCGGTGTAACAGGAAATCTGTTCATCAGAAGATATCAGCCAGCGTTGATCTGAAGCCTCCTCCTTATGCACTGGTACGCGAGTTACATTACATGATGTGTTTATCTCTGTAATATGTATTTTTACTGTTCCTGTTACATTTGTCTGTGGTAGGATGCCCTTGAGCCACATATGAGCAAACAGACATTCGAGTATCATTGGGGAAAGCACCACAGAGCTTACGTCAACAACCTAAACAAGCAAATTGAAGGAACTGAACTCGATAAAATGACACTGGAAACCATAATTTTGTCTTCATACAACAAAGGTGATATTCTTCCGACCTTCAACAATGCTGCACAGGTATTGTATGCCATATATGCCATTTGTCAGATTTTAATGTAAATCCATTAATTGTTGAAACCCTTGGATCAGATATGGAACCATGAGTTTTTCTGGGAGTCCATGAAACCTAATGGTGGTGGAAAGCCATCTGGAGAAGTTTTGGAATTGATAAACAGAGATTTTGGATCGTTTGAAGGCGTAATCAGTGAGTTGAAATCAGCTGCCACTACTCAGTTCGGTTCTGGTTGGGCTTGGCTTGTATGTAAGTGTTTGTTTGGTTAAAGCTAAAAAGTTTGAAATAAAATAAAATGCATCCTTTTTAATTTTGATGAGTTTTGACATTTCTACCCTTGTGTTTCCTTCTAGACAAAGAGGATGACAAGAAACTTGCTGTCGTGAATAGCCCAAATGCAATTAATCCTCTTGTTTTGGACTACCATGTGAGTTAAAAACTAAAGATAATAAGTATAATATTGTTATTGTTTTTTTTTTTTTGTAACCATGGATTAACTAATACATAAATTGGTTTCTTTTTCTTCTATTTTGTAGCCTCTTCTCACCATTGATGTTTGGGAGGTATAACACATGATTCCCTATTTCCCTTTCATTATAAAGAAATGAAATTTATGCCCCACATTGTGACACTGTCGTTTAATTGAAATCGATGGATCCTTAAAACTTTATAGTTTTGTATATATAATCATGTTTTTTTTTACAAAAGAGTCAGCAGTTAAACAAGCAAACTATTTGACTGTTCATTAAGCATTTAAAGTATAAATGAACATATATATAAACAATGTTTTTGCTAAAGTTGTTGAAAACCAGTTTTTTAACCCATAAAGAAGGAAATTAAACTATATATATGGCACGTTCACTTTTAATCTAATATGTTGTTACTTGCAGCATGCATACTACCTCGATTTTCAGGTAAGAATGTGTCCTTTTAATTTACTCATTTAATCATATATAATATATGTGTTTGTGTGTGTATGATGAGATATGAAAAGGTTGATTAATGAAAATTGTATATGTTTTGTAGAACCGTAGGCCTGATTATATATCGGTGTTCCTGGATAAGCTTGTTTCATGGGAAGCAGTGAGTTTGAGACTTGAAGCAGCCAAGATTTTGGTGGCAGGGAAGGAAAATAAATGATATTTGTATCTGTATCGTTATTTAAATAACTTGTGTCGAAATAATTGCTTTATGATGTATGGTATGATATTTATTGAGGATTACAAAGAAAGTTTGAAAAAAGTTATCAAATCAAAGGGGATGCAGCCTAGCTATTTCTTATTTAGTAATAAACTATTAGAAAATTAAAACTATTTTTACCGAAGCATATACATTACACATACCAATGGAGTTAGATGGGGGTGGGGGCACCCACTAGCCCCCTACTGGCTCCGCCCCTCTTTTTTTTTTGTGTGTAGAATCTTTGGTTGAACTACTTAGATGAGCTAAACATTGGTGATTATGAGTTGAGCACCTTGATGTTATTCAATTCATAAAGTAACAATTTTATCACCACCGTTTAAAAAACTAAAATATCGAAAAATTAAAAATTAAAAATCCAAAAAATAATCAAATTTATAGAAATCCCCCCCCCCCCCCCCCCCCCCCCCCAATAACCATTTATTTCTCAAGTCCAAATACGAAGTAAGGATCTCACTACGAAATTGGGGAACCCAACTGGAAAATGGCCAAAGAAGTTATTTTGGAGCATTTCGTTAGTGGGTCATCCATTTTACAGTGAGTATATAAAAAATATCTTCAGTTTTTTTTCCCTCTGATAATATATATTGAAATTTCTCTAAAACCTACTTTCATACATCGATTTAAGTTTAAATCTTGTATTACAGAGATAATGGTTTTTAATGGGAATTAACCATTTCTTAGTGAGGAAAATTTGAGCTTTTAATACATTTTTTTGTTTGGAAAAGGTCAGTTCTTATTGTCGGAAATGATCATTTTACACAATGAGAAATCTGCCCATTTCTTAGTGGACATTGCTCAATGTAGAAAATGATCACCTCACAGTGAGAATTAACACATTTTCGTAGTGGATATAATTTAGATAGAAGAATCTATAATTTTTGCTGGGTTTTTATAGTTTTCATACTTGATTGGATTTATTTAATTTCGGTATTTGATACAAAAAGAACATCAATAATATGTGGAAATCCTAAAAATTGAAGTTAGACGGTAGATTTTATCATTTATTTTGTTTTTTTAATAATTATATATCACAAGCCAATGGCCCATTTGCGGGGACCCATATGGCCCATTTCATAGATGGAGATCGGAGCATTTGGAGAGCCCCTCCAACATTGGTTATTTGGAAGTTGCTTAATTTTTGCTTGTTATTTTTGTCGTTATAATAAGGGCACCATAAATACAGTTACATTTAATAACTTCCAAGTATTTATGACATGGAAATCCAAATTATCCCATTGCATTCAAGTTTCCTTAAATGCTAAAAGTTAGGCCTACAACATCATATACTTCCGATAAGGACTCTGAAAACTCGAAATGTTTATTAGAACCACACCAGAAAATCATTAAAAATTTGTCAAAATTCGTCTAATATAATAACACCAAGTCATTTTCCAAAGTTACACAATACTTAATAAAAACCCCGCCAACAAACAACTGTCTCTAACTCCACATAACATTAACCACAAAAGCAGCAAAAAGAGCTCATTCCCATGAAGACTTTGGTTGTTTAGCAATATCATCCTTGATCCATTTTTGAACTTGTTTCACAACAAAGAAGTACTGCAAAAATAAAAACAATCAAACAAAGGGAAAGGGAAAGGGACCCACAAGCAGAAAAGTTTAAACATAACAACTTACTTGAAATGCAATGATGAGAGGAATGAAGATTTTCCCTCTTTCATTTGCATTTGGGCCATCAATCAACTTTTGGTCAACCAAAATGCTACTGCTTTCATTGGTAGCAACTTTTGTAATCACTTCAACTATATTAGGAATCCAAGCACTTCCATTTGGAAGAATCTGATTCCAAAAAAAAAAAAAAAAAAAAAAAAAAAAAAAATCAATCAATCAAGGTCAAAACATGATATAGCAATAACCACTAACCTTCTCCTCACGTTCATTTTTATTACACCTGCTACTATTTTCAACCAACACAACTGGAATTGAGTGCCCCTACAAGAAAAATATCCACACCAATCAGATTAAAGAAATTATATATAAGTAAATAAAAAGAGACTGAGTACCTGAATTTCACGTTTCCTGAAACGCCCTCCAGATTCTACAACTTTTAGAAGAGCCTCTGATCTTTTTCCAAAGAAGTCATCATAACCAAGACAATCTGGTGGTGTGAGCTGAGCATGTGTTAGCACTACCACTCCTTTATGCCATATTTCTTTACCAAAACTCTCTGTTATTGCCTTCACAATCTGTTTATCCAAGTTATCCACTCTATACGCATCCAATCTGTCCACATATAACAAAACATCTATTGTTTTGTTCAAAAGAAACCTGCAAAATCACAAACCAACTCATTCAGACATAATTCATATTTCATAAACAATATTATTCAATCCAGATTTTGATACTGAATACTGAATACCACACCTTTTGATGAGGTCAAGAGCCTGGTCATTCACATAACCTCCTTCAACAATCCCTGGTGTGTCGATGATGTTCAATGTGAATCCAGATCTTTCACGGGAAACCATCACTGGTCTTGGGACATCTGACTGAAACAAAAAATTATATAAATGAAATGAAAGTTACAAAGTGGAATTACTTTAATGGTGTTATAAGCTATGAAGCTATGAGGGTGTATGATATACCTGAAAGGCACTGACTGCAACTGCTCGTTCACCAAGAATGGAGTTTATAGTTGAAGATTTCCCAACACCTCCCTTTCCCATTACAAGGATAGTCAAACTGTCCCTCTCCTGTGATATTACAAGGATCCAAATTTTAATAGCAAATAATGCTTCTTTCACAACAAGCTTCTCAGGAATTCTCAATTGAATCGACTTAAACCATGAAAATTAGGTTTTACAATAGACGTTAAACGAAAGTAAAGAGAACAACTAGGGATTGATGTACACCTTCGTCTTTAAATCTCCCAGTAGTTCCAACAACTTGGTCTGGGTTGCAAGAGGAAACAGTTGAATTCCTGTCCATTCACGGGCCATCGAACCTGAAAGTTCGTAAAACAATACGATTAAACTGTAATGTAACCTAATTTTAACTCATGAGAACAGAATTGAAATTTCGAAACATGTAGAAAACTTAATAAACAAGTAATTTTATGTAAATTCCGTCAAGCAGGACTTATGCATTAGTGAACGGAAACAAAGCTAGAAAAACTTGAAGATTACTTCCTTAGTTTGAAATAAATTACAGCTCGATTCGGATTTGATATTGATTGATTTGTAACTTGAAATTTCATACGGACTTCAACTGCTATTGATTGACATACAAAATCAATTTTCGGGGAATGAGGGAGTAAATGTATACAAAATCAAATGGCAGGAAACCAAAATTGAAACTCAAATTAACAAGGATAAGAACATGGGTTTTGGATCTTACCAACCTTTAGCGACAAGATATTTGTGACTTCAAATAGTATGTAACAGAGCAAATTATGATGGATAGTGGGACGCAAAGAGAAACCCTAACAAACACAATTGGAAGAGAAGAGGGTTAAAAGAAATGCTTGTTGTTGTTCTGTATTACAGAAGACGAGATTATCAACACCAGGGTTTTGCACTTTAGAGCCATTGCCTAAATGGCCCCTGTAGTATCTCATAAACGATCTTTTAGCCCTTGTAGTAGAGTAAAAAAAACGATTCAACCCAAACCAATAAAAAAGAGAAGAAAAAGGAACGACAATACAAGCCACATAAACGAGTGGCAAAACACAGAACCACAAACAACAACGAAAAAAAAAACAACTGAAGTTACAGATTAAGAAAAAAGACATTGAGATCAGTTTTGTCCATGTTGACTCATTCATTTTACCCCTATTTTCACCCAAAGAAAGGTCATGGATTTGATAATATCTATGACTTTATTTGGTGGCAGCCAGATTTCCCTGAAAACTCTATCATTAATTGCTATCCAAATAGACCATAGCACACAATAACAAATGGCTATAAAAATCCTTCTTCTCTCTGGACATGACCCCCACCTCGCTGTGAACTCTAGAATGTCATTTGCCTTAAGAAAACTTCCAACTTGCACACTACACCATCTCTATATCCCCTCTGTGACCATCTTTGCATAAGAGCATGCCACAAGAGTATGGTTTGGACACTCTTCTATCTCCTCACACATTCAACATGTCAATGTTTCCAAGATTACCCCTCTTTTTGAAAGTTCATTTGTCGTTGGAATTCTGCTAGCTTGCGCCCTCTAAATGAAACAGAAGACTTTTAGTGGTATTTCTTTAATCCAATGAAAATTATAATTGATGGTAAGGGATCGATAATCCCATTTTTTCCTAAGGGTACACACTGTATATGAGCCATCTAGTGTTAAGCCAAATTTCCAAATTTCACAAGTGGGACCTAATTGCTTGGAGATCACTAGACTGACATGGATGTTTTTTTCATGAGATCATTCTTTATACCTGCGATATTGTTCTATATCCCGGGTAAAGTCTTCATTGAGTAACAATCATCAGGTTTGGAACGGGGGTTGTGCAAACTATTGATAACTGTTGCCCATTATTGTTATTTGAAATGAAAAATGGTCGATTCGAATTTAATTCGTTTACTAAACATGTTTGATTGACGAAATAAACAAGATAAATCTAATTTCATCCCATTTAAAAAATATATTTGATTAAGTTTAGATTTTCAATCATTTTGCTAAATAAAATGTTCCAACGTTATTTAATTTAATTTAATCTACTATACATTGAAACACATATAAAATAACTTTTTATAACATTTAAGAATACATTAATATTATAAAACTAAAGCTTTGGTAGTAAGTAAACATATATACATATAATATGAATTAATTATTATTGTAATATTTTGTTGGTATAAATATAGAGTTATAAACAGACAATGAAACTAGTAATATTTATCTATAATATGACATGAATTTATATTACTTTAATTTCGAAATATATTGATTTATACAAAACTTACAAAAATGATATAAATTAAATATATTGAACACATAAATAAGTTGTGGAAATGTTCTTGTTATATTGAGGATATATAAAAGTTTTAGATAGTTGAATTGGCTTTAAGGTGACATAAAACTATAATGAAATGGATTGTTGGATGTATTTCATGCATGTTTATCTCATGTAATTGCATTTCATTTATGAATTTTATCATTTACGGGTCATTTTGTGGAATCTCGTGGAATTTAATTATTTGTGCGGGCTTTGATGTATTGTAGGGACATTGGAATCATGGAGCATACTTGGGATTAGGTTGGGAAGCTTTGGTTTAGGACAATCATTAAATGAACAAAAGGGTTGGAAATTTCATATTTGGCCGGTAAAGACAGAAGACTAACCATGTCATGTAAAATTAAGTGTTGGTTTCACAGTGGCCATTTATGGGCCGTTCCAAATATATTTTGGGCGGAGGACGAGAGAAAAAAAAATGTTCCCTTAAAATACACAAATATAATCAAGTTTTTTTTATAAAAAATCAATAATTAAAAAAAATTATTTGTACTATTTTCTAAATATAATAATTTCAATAAAAAAATTGAGCCCTTTAAAAGATGAGCTATGGACCGTCGCCTCTATCGTTCACCCTCTAGAACTGGTCATATAGCAAAAATAGGCTACGAAACTTTAAAGATTACATGGGCCATGGTTTTTGCCTTGTATTTCCCGTTGTCGTGTAAATGGATCAGATGTACAAAATGGCAACAAAGGTAGGCAGGATTGTAAGAAAAAGTAGCGTGTTTTTGGGTTTACATGGCTAGTGGGTTTCTTAGGCTTTTTACATGTGTTATGTGTTTTAATTTGCGTATAGTAGCCCTTTTGGCACATTCCAAAATTCGACAAATAGGGAGTTAGGCCTTATTTTTGGGATATATGACCGGAGGGAGTGAAGAATGTGATTTTCATCTTATGTTGGCATTAGGAATCATTCGAAAGCATTTGTTCATCATTTTTAAGTGTGATTAACTTTTTTTAACAATTTGATTCTTATAACATTTGTAGCTATTATCGACTAAAAAACCCAATTTCTGGTTTTAGAGTGTGTATTTCATCTTTGTTGTGGTTAAACCTTTCAAATTAGTTTTGGAAACACTTATGGTCTAGTAATGCATATTTTTCTTGATTCAAATTCTTTGAATTTTTATTTAGTTTATTTTGGCCATTTAAATTCTAGTGTTAATTTTCAATTATTGAAATCCTGAATTCTTTTAGGAGTTAAAACCGATAACAATGGTTCTAGGTTAGAAAAAGTTGTCATTGCAAACCCGAATTATTTGTTTTCAAACCATCGAGGTTGTGAAAGGAAACGAATATTCTGTGGAATACTTCCATGAAACTGTATGCGATCTTTTAGTTTGATTTAATAGTTTCTTTAAACTACTTAGTAAGACTAGGTGTAATTAAAGAGATTGGTTGTTTTAAATAAACATGTTGGCAAGTAAAAAAGGTATTAGATGTCTTTTAGTACCAACTTATACCATTAATAATTGAATTCGATATCAATCCAAGTTTTTTTTTTCACATAATAGATAGAAAGAATTTGAAACCGGATCCAGTTCACCATTGATTGTCTTGTTTTCATTATGTGTTTCTAATAAATTCAGGTCTTAAACACAAACCCCCTCTTTTAAGTTGCTTGTTTCTCATTAAAATCTCAGAGTTACATAAGCAAAAGGCATAAGATTGTTAACCTGTATCTAGCTATATGAATTCTACCCCTACTTAAAATGAATTATCTTTTAGCCGTTTATATCTCTATTTGTCTTTGTTTTCAAAGACGCTGCTATCGTCTAGTTCTTGGGAAGTAAGGGATATGTTATAACTTATAAGCAAAGAACTCCAAGGGCCGCATCAATCTTTTCTTTTAGCATACATGATTTACGAGATCATCAATAGATACGACTCTCCAGATTTCAATCGCCTCTTTAACTGTTCTGAGATCATCATTAGATTAGATACGACTTACCAATTAATAGGCATGTGTTTTTTACCACGTCGAAAAGGGTATCATTAAAAAAATCATGGAGTTATAGAATCTAAAAGGTAAATGTGATATTTAAAATTTAGGTCCATATTTAGTCATTTACCCACTAACATGTAACCGCTAGAAAATTCATATTTTTGACACACTCTAATTTCTTGAAAACTACAAGTATTCCAAAGTGCGATTCATCATCCCCCTGATCTTCTAGATGCATCTACATTCTACAATTTCACAATCAAAATCATTCTTCCTTTGTTTACAGCCAACTGCATTTTCCTGATTCTCACCAAGTTTAATCCACTTGAAAGCTTTTCAATGTCATGCATCTTCCCGAAGCCAACCAAGGCAAACCTTCTTCCTTGTTCAATAATGTGTCCCACTTTACGACATGCTTCCCACAAAGTAGTTTTTCCACAATCATGCAGGAAGTTACGAAATGAAGAAATGGTTCCTCTCCCTATCCCTTAATTTGTCTCTCCATTTGTATGGCTCCTACGTTTACGAACCACGTTGTTACCATTAAGTAGCATCAGATTCCAATTTACACCCACCTTACAAAAATATATTTATTTTCTATTTTTTTTTTCTTGGATATAAATTGAGATTCAATAACCAATTTTACAAGACAATTTATGTGGGCCCACATGACACGTAGATTTGATAAATATATAGATCAGTACAAGCTTTTTGATAGTACTAGCTAGACTGTACTAATTGTAGTACAAAACTCAACCAACCCCCCATCCGAGACATTTCAACGTCTTCTCATAGTCATCTATATATATCATATTAAGATTAAGATTCCAATTAATTGTAGAATTTGGTGGATTGTCACGGAGCTTTTACGAAGGCCACAGGAGCATGTAAGTTGTCTCTGTGCGACTTCGACTGTTTCTTCCAAATTCGTTATTCTGACTGCATCAAACGATTGAACATGGATAAAATTTCAAATTTCTTGGGTTTCTGGGGAACCATGGGTTAGGACGAAATATCTTTGTCAGTAAATCATTTTTATCTGGTTTGTTTGTGATTTCATACGGATTATCCAGATAAAACCCTAATTATAACCTCTTTCAGAAACTTATTACTTGTTTTTACACGTGTCCCAACGTGGTTTAGCTCCAAATAAAGATGCAAGTTTTCTGTTAAGTGTTATCTTCTTCATCTTCTAACTGTTTGAAGAAAAACTACAATATTTATGTTACAGAGACGTTGATCTGTTCATCTGACGATATCAGCCAACATGGATCTGAAGCCTCTTCCTTTTGCACTGGTACGTATCATGTACGCCTGCCTGACTTAATATATATTGAACAATACGTCGTTAATTACATGATGTACGTGTTTATCTCTGTAATATATATATATATATATATATATATATATATATATATATATATATATATATATATATACTTCCTGTGCTACATGATGATACATCTGTGGTAGGATGCCCTTGAGCCACATATGAGCAAAGAGACGTTAGAGTATCATTGGGGAAAGCACCACAGATCTTACGTGAACAACCTAAACAAGCAAATAGAAGGAACTGAACTAAATAAAATGACATTAGAAAGCATAATTTTGACTTCATACAACAAAGGTGATATTCTTCCGACCTTCAACAATGCTGCACAGGTATTGTATGCCATATATGTCATTTGTTGATTCTTTTTAAGTTTACTTTCAGTGGTGTCAGATATTGTAATGTAAATCCATTAATTGTTGAAACCCTTGGATCAGATATGGAACCATGAGTTTTTCTGGGAGTCTATGAAACCTAATGGAGGTGGAAAGCCATCTGGAGAACTTTTGGAACTGATAAAAAGAGATTTTGGTTCGTTTGAAGGCGTAATCAGTGAGTTGAAATCAGCTGCCACGACTCAGTTCGGTTCTGGTTGGGCTTGGCTTGTATGTAAGTGTCTGTTAGGTTAAAGCTAAAAAGTTTGAAATAAAATAAAATGCATCCATGTTAATTTTGATGAGTCTTGACATTTACCCTTGTGTTTCCTTCTAGACAAAGAGGATGAGAAGAAACTTGCTGTCGTGAATAGCCCAAATGCAATTAATCCTCTTGTTTTGGACTACCATGTGAGTTAAAAACTAAAGATAATAAGTATAATATTGTTATTGTTTTTTTTTTTGTAACCATGGATTAACTAATATATAAATTGGTTTCTTTTTCTTCTATTTTGTAGCCTCTTCTCACCATTGATGTTTGGGAGGTATAACACATGATTCCCTATTTCCCTTTCATTATAAAGAAATGAAATTTATGCCCATGTACACAATTGGTCATTGTCGTTTGTCGTTTAATTGAAATCAATAGATCCCTAAAACTTAATATTTTTGTAAAAAAACACCATTATTGCGTAAACCCATAATAGTCGTCTTCTTTTTTTAAAAAAACCGAGAAAAGTTGAAGGCCAAGGCTGGGTCTATTTTGTACATATAAAACAAGAAAAATAGTTATTCGATTGTTTACTAAGCATTTAAAATATAAATGAATGTAAACAATGTCTTTGCTAAATTTATTAAAAACCAATTTTTATTTAGGAACAGAGCAATAACAATGTTATAAATTATATATAAAACTAATATTGATTATAAATATAAGTTATCTTAAAAATTAAACATCAATATAATTAAATAGAAATAAAATCAATATTAAGTTGGCACGTAAAAATATTAACAAATATAATTAAAATCAAAACATTTTATTAAAAAATAATTAACGAAGGAAATTCAATAAAGAGAAAGGGAAAGAAGAAAATTCCATCTTTTTTTTAAATGGATTCACATTTAACCAACATGTGAATGCACATACAATGCATGCTTATTGTAGACCTCACAATATGTGTCTATGTATTGTGTATATGTGTCAACACGAATTTACACATGTATTGTAAAACGTCTCTTTTGTACGACACATAACAAACATGTGTGACACGTACCATGACACAAATAGATATATTTTTAACCATACGTGTTACACGATAACACGAAAACACAAAAAGACTCAAATTTACATGAGCATCAAGTTGAAAGATTTATTGTGTAAAATTAAATTAAAACAAAAATGACCAATTGCACATCATTAACCTATAAAGAAACAAAACTATCTTTATGACACGTTCACTTTGAATCTAATATGGTGTTACTTGTTACTTGCAGCATGCATACTACCTCGACTTTCAGGTAAGAACTTGTTCCTTTTAGTTGCTTAATCGGATGATATATGAAAGGTTTATCAGTGAAACTTGAATTTGTTTTATTTACAGAACCGCAGGCCTGATTATGTATCGGTGTTCTTGGATAAGCTTGTGTCTTGGGAAGCAGTGAGTTTGAGGCTTGAAGCAGCAAAGATTTTAATGGCAGGGAAGAAAAAAGGAGATGAAAGCAATTGAAGTGGATGTTATTGAGCAAATGGAGCTTTTGAACAATAAATGATTGTAACCATATTTGTATCTGTATGGTTATTTAACTTTTGTTAAAGTTGAATTATGGTATGATATCATATTTATCGAGGATTACAACTTACATGTTTGAAAAAGTTATTGAACAATTCAAATCGAAGTCACACAATATGGAAGCGATAAAAGCTAGATATTTTCAAGAAAACAAATAAAGAGAACCCAAAACAGGAGAAACTTTTTATTATAATATTTCGATCTCTTTAACATTACAATCTAATCTTCTTATATACGAGACTAATAACCTTAAAATCCTTACAATAATAAATGAGATGATTCATAACCGACACATTAAATCGGTCAAAATAACTTACATATTGATCCTAAATAGAAAAGTAACATACGAAATAACAAATGAGTTTATTAATACTTTTATTTTATGGAATAAAAACCGAAAATCTATAATAAAATCAAACTAAGGAACTAAAATATATAATATAATTTTAATTCGAAGAATATGTGAATTGAATTTCACCCTCTTTCCACATTCTCAATGACCCATATACGAATCGACACTTGAAATGTTCTAGACTCATGTCCATATGAAGTTGGTATTACTATGTATCGTGATTAAACTGAACAATTTATTAGTGTGAACTAATTCCAACAGATATTCAAATCACCTACTGATGTATTCATCATATATCTTGATAAACAAGATTTACATTTATCATAAGACTTGTCATCAAACGATATCCAAAATTCAATCCAACTGGATACTTGGTAATGCATTTTTCATTTATGTATCCAAGACTATGATTCTAAAATTACATTTCACCTAAACCCTTTTGGAAGTATTTGAATTAGTAAACATTATGGTCAATCTGAACGGTCCATTAGTTGAACTAATTCCAACAGATATTCGTACTATAGCTAGGGTAGTAATATCGTCATCCATCTTGACAAAAGACTATCATTTATCAGAAAACTTATGGTCAAATGAATTCCAAAATCCTATCTAATTGGATATTTGATAATGCAATTTTCATGTCCAAGAAGATGATTCAACAATAATACATCTTATTCAAATATTCGAATAAGCTTTGAATCATTGTTACTATACTATCTTCATAGATTTCATGACTTTCTTTTAACATGTTAAAATGTTCTATATTTAAACAAGTAAAAATGATCTCATGAAACATTGTATTAACAATTTGAATTATAAGACCATAAACTAAAGATTTTGAAAATAGTTTTCTTTTGATCTAATGAATAATAGTAAGGGATCGGTATTCATGATCAAACAAGTAAAAATGATCGACAGACCCAAAACTGAAATTGGTTGCTGCCTTTTCGGAAAGATGAGAAACTGCTTTGAAACCCACGTCCACGTTTATACGGCCCATGTAAATATGTATTGACGTTTACACGGTCTGTGTAAATGCAATAAGTAGACTGCTCAAATTGGTTGGGTCTTCAAAGTATGTTGTTGAAGTATGCTCGATTACACGGCCCGTGTAAACTCATGGCTATAGTTTACACAGTCGTGGAAGTCCCTGAATGGCTGCAATCCTCAAATCTTCCTTCCCGATGCTCCGAAAGTCATGAAATCTTGTCCGCGCCTTTTATTCACCTCCCTAAGCTAGATCTCACCTCCAAGAGTCCTTAAAATATCACAAAAGTGTGAGAGTGAATTAGTATTATGGAATGTCCCGAAAAACATGTAAAATGCAAGAGTTTAAGCCTAAATACAATGCAATTATATGAAATAAAACTCCAAAATGGGTGCATGAAATGCACCCAACACCAATTTCGATCACCACGTAATTCCTAGATCTTTGAGATCCATTGACTATCAATGATATGTTAATCTCGGATTATGTTCTTCTTAAGCTATATATGATATATATTGTATCTTTAAGATTATAGTAATAATATTTATTGAAGAGAATCACAAAAAAATTTCAAAAATAACTTATAAATTATCATTTTGTGTTTTTTAATAAAAAAAGTTATCTTTATTTTATGTTTTTTAATTTTTAATGAATAAATATAATTTTACTTTAAATAAATTTAGTCATTATAAAAAAAATCTCCAAAAGAAGTCTTTAAACTTTACCATTATTAATGAAAAAGTCATTTTGTTGCAATTTAACCCTTACAGTCGACTTAGAATGGTTATTTTGTAAGTGTTTATCGATTTCAATAGTTTGCAATAAAAAAAAATTAATAATGGTTTTTTTTAATAGAACCAAAATATAGACTTTTTGTTGTAGATTTTTGTTTATGTTATCTTGGTTATTTAGGTTATTTTGGTGTATTAAAGTTTAGATCTTAAAAACTTGAGACATTATTATCGATAAAGTTGGAAACTTTATCCATCTAAACATCATGTGGATTTAGATATGAAGGTTGGAGACTTAGACTTAATGGATTTAACTGAGAAAGATGCATTCTTGGTCCCTTTGAGGCTTAAAGACTAGATCTTGGTTTTTTTAGACCATCCTAATGGATAAAGTTGGAGACTTTATCCATTATGAAGCTATTTAGGGACTAGATATGAGGTTATGCGCCTTGGTTTGAAGAGATAAAGCACTTAGCTCTCAGGAGTCCTTGGAGTTTGCTTAGGGTGACTGCTTTTTTGTTCATGTGGTAGGTCATCCTAAATTGGTTGTAGCACGAGGGCAAGGAGTGGAGAATGATGTCGATAGCCAAGTCTTCCCCAAAGTTAACATTTAACTTGCGAAGACGATCAACATACCTTTGCATCTTTTGCAAATGCAAGGTTAGGGACTCTCCACTCCCCATCTTAGCGGTGATCATGTTGGTGATGATCTCGTAGCACTCTTGCATTGCGCTTTGGTGGTACATCTCCAGCAAATCTTGGTGCATTTCATAGGGACACATGTCCTCATAGGACTTTTGGAGTTCAAGGTTCATAGTGGCCAGCATAATGCAATGGACTTTCGTTGCATCACGCTCATGGGTCTCAAAGACGGTCATTTCTTCGGGAGTAGCAATTTCCGGATTGATCTTTTCAAGCTTCTCGTCGAGGACATATTCTTTGTCCTCGTAGCGAGAAATCATGCGAATGTATCTTATCCATTCGTTGAAATTCGATCCGTCGAATGTCACCTTTCGACATAGGTTCATTCGCGAGAATGAACCAACAGCAGCGTTGTTTGCGTTTGCGTTAGACATCTGCAAATAGAAAGGAATAAAGTTTTGATTAGAATTGCATCCCTAATTAAACACCCAAAAATGAGAAATTAGAGCTAGGATCCAACAACATTATTTACACATTAGAAAATAGATGTCGTAATCCAACATGTAAATAATTTCGAGGTAAGTGAATGACGATTCACTAATTCTTCACCAAGAAAAACATAAAGGCTTAGGTTTTAAATGTATTGAGAATTAAAATTATCTAACAACTTAGATGTACCAAAGCAAAGTTTATAAAAATACTTATACAGGACCAAAACACAACAATCTTGTTTCTAAATATTTGGTTAATTTTGCTTACAAATGTAAATTGACCAAAAGATACAACCAAAAAAAGGTAAATCGGTGTATATGAAGCTAGTCATTGAAAAAAAAAAAAGTTAAAATTATATTACTAGATTGGTAAATTGATTCACCTATAATAATTAGTAGTTTCAATAAATATATATATATATATATATATATATATATATATATATATATATATAGAGAGAGAGAGAGAGAGAGAGAGAGACACACACACTAGTAGTCTACTCGTGCGATGTAGCGGTGACAAATGGTTTTTTGATGATTAGCTTTCATCGATAGTTAGTTTCTTTTGGTAGGTGTTTTTGGAAATTGTTGCTTTTCCGCAATTAGTTTACTTTCAGAAGGCAACGGATAATTTCTTTTCTACAAAAAATATATCAATTTGTAGTATATGTGGGCATAATAACCCATATACCAAGCTATATTTGAATTAAACAAATCATTTTTAAAATATTTTAACAGTTTCTAATTTTTCTTATTGGTTATATATGATTTTGTTTTCATATATACAAATTAACAGAGTCGTTACCTTTAATTAAGATTATATAATTTACAAATATGTATGTTTGGAACATGGCGACGCTAAATGTACGGTGTAGTGAATATTATTAAGGGCAATAATATCAATTTATACTTATATTGTATGAAAAAGTTTATTCATAGTTATTTGATGTCATTGATTTCCTTTTTAGTCAATACAATTTTAAGAGACTAAAACTTACCAATACAAACTTTAATATATAAATTATTCCACACGATATGTAAGACTTTTAATCATTCAATAAGTAAATGAATTTTGGATGACTTCCAAACACTAATCAAAAGATTGGAACTTGTATAATTTTGTGTAATTAACATGATATGATCCTTGATATTGAATACATGTGTAATTATTAGGATATGAACATTGAAAAGCAAATCGAAAGTAGACCTTTTGAGCATTTCTTAATAGAGTACAAAAAAAAGAGACTTTGTATATGTATTAAAAAGGATGATAATGTCCAACACTACAGTCCACTCTACTAAATAAGTTAGGTTGGTTTGATGGCATTAACTCAAAATTATAAACCAAATCTATTACTCCTATCTTCTTAATCTTGTTAGTCCCTCTTACGGACCATAATCTGCACAATAACAAAACTAAAATACTTAGCAATAGTTACACAATGATGTTTATGTGTTTTTCAACCAAATGCACTTGTTCAGCACCAAATCCATTCCACATGGAATTGGGTAATTTTTCCCTCAAGAACCTAATATCTACCGTACCTCAAAACACAAAACATGGTTGTTATGCTTGGTTCTACACATAATAAGACCAACCATTAATCTATGTCATGATTATAACCTGTTGCAACTAGGAAACAACTTATTTTAGCATTGACGAAAAAAAAAAAGACAAAATTACATCAATGGTCCTCATGGTTGACAAAATCGACCAATTATGGTCCTTATGACGAATTCTTTACATAGATGGTCATTGTGGTTTCAAAATCTTGCAAACATGGTTCTTTTGACTAACGGCGTTAACTTTTTCAGTTAAGTCGTATGTGAAATGACATATTTGCCCTTCATACATAAGGACGCTTTATGTAATATGTTTCTACTACAGGGACCATTTATGTAATTTTCTCTATTATTTATTTTTTTTATTTTTTTTAATTATATATTTAAGTATTTAGATTTGTTTAAATTTATTGTTTAATATATATATATATATATATATATATATATATTATTTTTTCTAATCTTTTTGACATTTTCTTCAAGTAAATTTATTAATGTTTTTTATTTTGACGTTTTATTCGAATATTATTTATTTATTTATTTGACGTTTTGTTCAAATACATTTTTCAACATATAGTATGTTTATATTTGTTAAAGGATTTCACGGCTATTGTAATGATAATTCGTAACTTAATTCACTTTTAATTATGTTTTCATTTTTTTTCTTTTATCAGGTTATATAATTATTATTTTTTAATTCAAATATTTAACTATATAAGGTTGTATAATTATTATTTTTGTAAACTAATTTATTAACATTTTTTTATAAAAAAGTGTAAAATGTTTGTTAAACGTGAATATGATTAATATAGATTAGGTAGACATAGGCTACGCTGAGACCGTCTCACAACGTTGCAGAGAACGACCGGGTCATTTCACATTGGATTTAAATGTAATTATTTCGAGTTATTTTTTTTAGCAGTGTTGTAAAAAATCACAACTAGGTCCCGATTAATCTATGATTAATCCCTAAGTGCTACCTGACCAATTAGAGGCCATTGGGTTGTATTTTTTACTACACTGCTAAAAACAAAAAAAAAATAACTTTAAATAATTACATTTAAATCCAATGTGAAATGACCTGGTCGTTCTCGGTAAAGTTGTGAGGCGGTCTCAGCTTAGCCTATGTCTACCTAATCTATATTAATCATATTCACGTTTAACAAACATCTTACACTTTTTTATAAAAAAATGTTAACAAATTAGTTTACAAAAATAATAATTATACAACCTTATATAGTTGAAAAATATATTCGAACATAACGTCAAAAGAATAAATAATATTCGAATAAAACGTCAAAATAAAAAACATTAATAAATTTACTTGAAGAAAATGTCAAAAAGATTAAAAAAAATAATTTGAGCAACACGTTAAAAAATGTTAGCATGAATATATATTAAACAATAAATTTAAACAAATCTAAATCCTTAAATGTATAAATATATAATTAAAATAAATAAAAAAAAATAATAAATAATAAAGAAAATTACATAAATGGTCCTTGTGGTAGAAACATATTACATAAAGCATCCTTATGCATGAAGGGCAAAATATGTTATTTCACATAGAACTTAACTGAAAAAGTTAACGTCGTTAGTCAAAAGGACCGTCTTTGCAAGATTTTGAAACCACATGGACCATCTATGTAAAGAATTCGTCATAAGGACCATAATTTGTCGATTTTGTCAATCATGAGGACAATTTATGTAATTTTGTCAAAAAAAATCTAGGATGGCTTTAATGATATAAAAAAGTCAATGACGATTTTTTCAATACAAAATTATGATTTTATGTTGCAATCTTTGAGCTCCATTACCCAAATTCCATTACCCAAATGCAAAAGGAAGGGTAAGAGCATCCACATGGCGTCTTGCAATCTCCTTTCAAATACATGTGGACTTCATTTTCAAGCCAACTAAACATATGTCTTTCACCAGATGAAAGGCTTGCAAAGCATAAATAGGGCTCATCATCTTTATATAATATTATTTATGCATTACATCCTTATTTATATTAACATTCTAATTAATCAATTTCCTTTACATTATTTTAAGCACGATAGGTCCGATCATCAAATTTTGTTTTCAAACATTATTTTTTTTATAGACTAATGGTCAAGTTCGTTATTATTTGATGAGTACTTATTTTATTACTTATACTATTTTATTATTGAACTAATATTAAAGTAAATATCTTATAAAAAATAAAGTAGTTATTAATGTGGCAATAGGGACCAGATTTGAAAGAAGGTTGTTATTGCACTGATGTAGAGGTAATTATAAAATCTGATGTGATACATTTGAAAGACTATTTGTATTGCACTGATGTGAATGGCCAAACAGTAAATGATGTTAAAATGGTTTTAATTTTTAAATAAACATTGTAAACATCAAAATGATTTAGGGCCACCTCTATAATTTGCATTAAGAAGTTACAAACTATTAACTAAAACAAATAAGCAAAATTTATAAAATTGATATGTGGCAAATGTTTTTCTCAGTTTTGGTCTAAGGGTAAAATAGTCATTTTAAAATGAAAATAACAATTGACAAGTTCAATTTAACAACTCACAGCAAAAAAGAAACATTTTGGGCCCAATTATGTAGAATTAATATATTATTCCTTTTATATGACCCCGATATGATAGTAAGTTGCTATTTCTTGATAAGAAATGACTCCGCCTTTTCTCCATTCCTTACATTCAACCAAAGTTGATATTGCATTTAGTTAACCCCCTTCATCATCACCTTTTTTTTGCATCGCTTTCTACTTCATTTCATATTTATCCTCGTCTCTATTCTTTTTCTTAATATAAACCTCATCAGCCAAGACAACTTTTTTATCCTTTTCCTTTTTCTATTTAGTTCTTTCATATTTCTTTTCTTCTTTAACTTTCGCTTTCACACCTTCAACAACTTCTGTTTGTTCAAGTATACGGTTAACAACAAGTGAGTATGTGACATGCCTACCTTAAATTAATATCAATGAATATAATTCAAAATACTTTTAGTTAATAATAAGCTTTTTAATTAACAACATTTAACTTAAAGTTAGAGGTTGGACGCACAAACCTACGTAGTGTAATGGTTCTTTAGCAGATAGACATCTCTGACAGCCTGACCACTCCAAACCTTTCAACAGGTACATAAAGCTCTTCTAACATACAAATCCAATTAGAAAAAAAAAATAATAAAAAAATAATAATAAAAATAAAAAAAATCACAGGAAATCCAAATAAGAAAAGGTTAAAATAATAATAATAATAATAATAATAAAGTATTGACCTTCAGAAAAAAAAAAAAAAAAAAAAAAAAAAAGCTACAAAATAAAAAATAAATAAATAAAATAAAATAAAAATAAAAAATGAAAATAAAAAAACAAAAATAAAAACTTAAATAAAAAAAAAAACCATTTAGATAAATATACCTTGATTAAATAAAAAAGAACATTCCTATACATATAATTTCCAAAATGTATGTTTTATTTTGGGAATTTTTCTATTGTAAGAGACTTGAAATTTGTGATAATGACCTTGTAGAGAAACAATATCTGATAATTGCAATAATGAACTTGGGATAAATCCTGTTCTTCTCCAAGTTAAAAGAGATTTAAAATTTTGTTTGTCTTGCTTTTCCAAGTTGTATGGTTTATCTTGGAGCATTGCTTTTTTAAATATTGTACATATAACTGTTCAAAATTAAAACAAATGAGATGTGAATTGCAAAACAACAGACATGAAACATTTATTATATATACATCACATCTGATTCATGAAATTGACATAAAAACAAAAATTCAAGTATAATTCAAACAGAGAACACACAAACACACATGCATAGAACGATTTAAAGAATCGGGATTGAAAAACTGATCGTCAATAAGCATATAAACAATTTGAACAAAAATCCACACATTGTATGAAAAAATGAACAAATCCATAAAGGGAAAACAAAAAACAAAGTAAAAAAATGAAGAAATTCTTGAATTACCTACCTTTCTCCTGTCATTGGCGGCAACTATGTGAAGAGCAGAATGACGATCATTGATGACCTTTTGTTGAATAAGATCTGGATCTCTCTCCAAAACAATCCTTACAGACAACAAAATAGTAAAAGAACTATCAGAAATTTGTCTATATTAATCTGAATAGAGCAATATGTGTGCTTGGAGAGATTAATTAAATTGGAATACTCATGCCATTCATCAAGACTTGTTGGATCACTTTGTTGTATTGGATAGGTTGAATCAAGAAGAAATTGAAGCACCAAAACCCATCCCCTTCATGGAAATGATCTGTCTTTGGAGGCAGTAACAACAACAGGAAGCAATTTAGAACAAGTATACCCAAAACTGCATTTACAAATAACAACCACTACAATTATCTTAGTTTTAGATAAATTCTTGTTGATTAAAACCCAAAACTGAAAAAGAAGAAAGCATTTTACCAAAATCCCTATCAGGATTGAAAGCTTTCAGTAGATGATAGTAATGAGGTTTTGGTTTTATATGTCAACAATAGGATACAAGTTGGGAGAAAGGGAAATAATTTACCAAAAGACAACAACGACCATCGTTGGATCATTCTTCTCCTCCTCTTCTGTTGTCATCATCGTCATCACCATTGATATATATATATATATATATATATATATATATATATATATATATATATATATAGAGAGAGAGAGAGAGAGAGAGAGAGAGAGAAAAAAAGGCAAATGATAACTGGTGCGATGGTGTTAGCTAGATTAGCATTTCAAAAGTTGGATTTTCATTACCATTTCCTTGAGTAGAGACACAGGTGCACCACCTGCACATTTTTTTGTCATTGATCAGGTAGCAATGATGGTTTAGAGAGAGAGAGAGAGAGAGAGAGAGAGAGAGAGAGAGAGAGAGAGAGAGAGAGAGAGAGAGAGAGCTGTGATTGCGTTGGCTAGATTAAGGTTTGAAAACTTGGATATTAATTACAGTTTTCCTGAGCAGAAACACATGTTCGATTGTAGTTTTGAGAAGAGAAGCAGAGGTAGAAAAGATTAATGGAGGAAATGATGGCTGGTGACCTATTCTAGATTGTAGCATGCGACATGAGGAGGGTGATGGTACAAGAATGTTGTTGAAAAAACTGAAGATATAAGGAGTGAGACAGAAGAGATGTGGGTTTGACGGTAGTGAAAATGTGTAGAGGAGGTTAGGGTTTAGTGCTTTCAAGATTTCAAGATTTAGAGATATCATAAAGATACGATGAGGTATAATATTAGATGCTTAATAAGGTTGTACATTATGTTGTGATGGGTATACCTCTTAAATTTTAAGAAATGTCTAAAATACTTTATATATATAATTAAATTAGAATTAAACAGCTTATAAAGGAAATAACTTATTCGTGAATAAGCAATTTTTTACATTATTTCATCCAAACATTTAAACGTGTTTATTAATATTATTATGAAACTATAAATAATCTAATAAACACCTTAAACAAGCAATCTCAAACATCCACCAACAAATATTAATAAGAAGCTCTATCATACCCGTTCTAGCAAGGAGGATTCTTGCTTGAAGGAATATGACCACAATATACATCCCATAATCAATCGTTTCTACAACACAATAAATGCATGTAAAGAAGAAAGCTTAATTAACCTATATGTTGTATATTTTACATCAATACCCCTTGCTTCCCCTAAACGTTGAAAGGGAGAAGAATGACCTCCTTCCTGAAAAACAAAAATGACCAAAAAAAAAAACATTGAAATTTCATCAGTATTTGGGAATTTAATTTTTGAAGTGTTGTAAGGAAATTATATAGAATTAGAAAGTTGACCTTTTGTGGGATTCAAGAGGCGTTTGAATCCTTTGGGTGAATCCTTGTGGTAAACCAAAGCAGGAGGATGCTCAGCATTTCCCCATTCTCCATTATCACCTTCTTCACTGTTATCCTCCAACATCATCTGAGATAAAGAATGACGAATCCTTGGACTTGTGATTCCAATTCCATCACTTCCTTTAACAGCTTTCACCGGAGACACACTCTGAACCGGGCTTGAAATTATCTCTTCTTCCACTTCCACTTCCGCTTCCACCCATGCGGTTGGAGAAATCACCAATTCCTGTTCCGACATTTCTACCCTTTTGGGGCTCACTAATTCCAATTCCAATTCCAATTCCTCCTCACTTTTAAGTTCAACCACCTGTGGTTCCAATTCTACGGTTTCAGTTACATCCGTTATCATACCAACCTCATTCTCCTCACTTTGGATTACTAAACTTTCAGAGCTTCTTCTAGAAGCTTCCTCAGGTTGATCCGCAACTTTTGTCTTCATTCCAGACCCCTTACGAAGAAAAGGCTTTGTTTCCAATGGAACCACACTGTTTTTCTTTGTAACCTTGGTGTAAAAACTAGGTTTAGATTCAGTATCAAGAGTGTTGTTGACTTTTGTTGGTTTCGTTGACTTTGTGGTTTTTGTAACTGTTGGCTGCTTCTGTTTCTTCTCGTTGATGGTTTTTTTAAGATTCCTGTTTGTAACAACATCTGGTGGTGGTGGTGTTGACTTTGGAGTGGTTGACCGTGGCTTTGACTTTTCACTTTTTGTACTTGAACGAACATCTGATGATGACGTGGACTGAGGTTTTCGAGAAGTTGTTCTAGAAGGTGATGCCTCTTTAGCTTTTGGTGGCTGTGGTGATGGCCATGATTTGCGTGTGGCAGGTAAAGGAGAAGGTGGTTTTGGTGTGGCTTTTTTCAAAACCGAAGGTTTTGGTGATTCCTTTCTTGAGTTTGTCAATGGAATTGGATTCTTTTGAGTTTTCTGGAGTTTATTATTCTCATCAAGAAACCGTTGCATTACTTTCAACTGAGCTTCTTTTTCAGCTCTTTTTCCAGCTGTTTCCCTTTGAAGCTTTTCATCTCTCTTTTGCTTATAGTGATCATAAAAACCACCTTTTTGCTCTGATTTCTTACTTTTGCTGACATCATTACTCAACTTCCGAGGTTTGACCGGTTTATTCTCCATCACTTCTGTGAATAACTGGTTCAGTTCCGCTTCCTTCTGTTGACTCCATTCAATGGAGTCAACATGCTTTTCACAGCTTCCTTCTCTTTCAGGTTCTAAAGTTTCCACCTGTGTGATGTTTTCTGCAGTCTCAACAGACACCTCTGCTTCTGGTGCTACATTTTTGGTGCTGACAGGGGTAGTTTCGGTATTATTAATATTAATATTAATATTATCAGGGAGGTGGTGTTGTTGGTTTTGGTGTTGGTGTTGGTGTTGGGTAGCATTTTCACCCATTCCTGAACTCCATCTTCTCAAAACACCTTTCTTTGTATTTGTATTTAATAAAGTCTTTTTCTTGGGAACATTGACACTTTCGTCCCTCTGTTTGCTTTCAAAAAGACTGATTTTATCTTGGACACTCATTCTTAATACATTGTTCTTCTTGGGTTTCACTGGGTCTTCTTCCTCTTCTTCTTCTTCTTCACTACTGTTGCTACCTGCATCTCTTTGAAACCCTAATTTTTCACGAGGTGGAAAATAGTTGAGGCTCTTGATAGTTAGGGCAGCTGCCCGGTGGGAACCTGACCGCCCGATTTGTATTCGCCTCATAGGAGATGCTGACCTTCTTGGTGTTGCAGATGATCTTGTAGGGGCACGACTTCTTTCAGCAGATGCTTGTTTATCTTCACTTGAAACAGATGAATTTCCATCATCTGTTGAGCTTTTTCGTTCAATTTCTGCAGCTTTTGCTAGGGAGGTGTTGTATTTTATGGGAGGAGCAAGGGCATTTCTGTCATTCTTATTGAAATTGATGTTTATCAAGTCCTGAGGTGAGGGGAATATGTTGATTTCTACAAACTTCTGTAATGAATCCCTGAAAAAAGTATGGTAGTAATACTAAGTGTTGATATCCACATATGAAATTTTCTTTACTCTTTTTTCAAGGAAAGATACCTTATATCTTTGGCTCCAAAATGATGAGCAAAATTTTCCAAGTCAGAGATGTCCTTAGTTGAGCATCTGGCACCAGTAGCCTGGTCAAAGGCAAGGGCTAATTCGTCTTTTAGTGCTGTGAGCCTTAAATCAACTGCTCTTAGTAGTTCATTCCTATCAGAAGCCACAATATGTGTTGATTGAGAAAAAGAAATGAGAAAAATGATTGATAACAAAAAAGAGCACATACTTTGAATTGATTGATGATGTAATATCAACTTCAGCCTGTTAGAGTTAGACACAAACCATAAGTTATTTAGTTCCAGATAACATAAAGAGGGGAAAAGTTAGAAGACATACCTTTAAAGACAATGAAAGTTGGAATTTTTTGGTTTCCTCTAGTTGAGTGATTTCATTTCCAATACTAAGGATGTCTGGCGAACCAATGATGTGTAGAAATCTGACAGATTATATAAAGTAAACCAATGAGAAAAAGAATAATGACCTTTTGATTCATTTAAGCAGGTAAAAAGAATTGAATGAACTATGGTATGGACCTTTTCAATGTGGCTGTTGTAAACCAGTCAGCATCATTGGAGTTATCAGGTGGTAAAATCTTGAAATTTGTGTTTGAGCCTTTGGAGGACAAATCTTTTACTCTAGGTGAATGCAGTAGTAACTGTTTCAAAGTTCCGGATGCTACTTTTTGTGTCCTGTTGCTACTACATACGTATGCCTCATACCTAGAAAACTTTGTATGAGATGATAGTTGAACGGAAGCTAAAAAAATGTTATATACTTATCTCCATTACAACATGAAGCAATAATAGTTTCGTAACCAGGGGAAAAGGATTTGTAAGGAAAGTTTGATCGAGAAGTTTAAAAAGGAAAAACCTGTTCTGGCTTGGAAATATCTGAAGTTCGACATAATCAAGCAACGCATCAGGATCAATTCCCCTCTCCATCTCCATCAACCTGAAGCAACAAACGAAAAAAACCCTAGTTTACACACCAGTGCTCATAAATTAAACTAGCCTATCCTCAATCTTCAACAAAAACACAGCATCTTACCATCCCCATTGTGAAACTATACTAAAAATGCAAATAATTGTGCGCTAAAATGTTTACCATCGGGAAAAAAAATTCAAACGTGAGCATACAATAAAACTCCACCTACCATTGACGAATAGATCTAACTAAAGAAAAACCCTAATCTTTGACGAAAAAAACCTCAGTCACCGACACCAAAAAGGGAATTCCATCGCAACTGGAAGCAAAGCTTCTAATCGATGGGCATCTCATTTCAAATATTAAAATGTATCACTACCAGTACTGCTACGCATTATTCATGTGCTAACTAACTAGAATAAACACTTCCACATGCGTAGATGCATTTGTAACGTACTAAAAGAAAGTGATCATTACTAGAAAAAAAAGGAAAAAGCTGATGAAGGAAACTGCGGAGCTTCAATAAATGTCTGTTCCTTTGTCGGGTTCGCGGAGGCGCACGGCGTTTAACGGAGGCGCGTTTGATTGTGTTTTAGATTGTAGCAGAGAGGAGTAGAAAGGACAAAAGAGTGAGCGCTTTGTTGTGTTGTGTTATGGCGCGTGGTGTCGCCTTCTTCTTTTTTGAATGAATAAAGTGGACCAAAATTTGTATTCTTTATTAAGATATCGTTTGAAGTTTAAATTTTGAAGTTTGAATGAATAAAGTCTAGTAAAATATATTATTTATTATTTATGTCTATAAATATTCAAAATAACACCATTTATTCGTCCGTTATGGCTATAAAATTAATAAAACGGGTTTGAATGTATCCTTGTTTTTTTATTGTCTTTATTAGACGTTTAAAGACATTTAATAGATAATCAAAACTTTACTTCAAATCCTATATAAAATTAATGTTTCGGTTTTTATTATACAACTAAATGTGTTTTTTTTGTATAATATCAAAAAGGGCACATTGCTGCCGAAATGGATGATCAAAATGAATATGTTTATAAAATTCACTTTGAAAAGATAATAAATTAGGGTAGGGATTTTATATATGTTTCTAAAAAGCGCGTCATGACGCGCCTCAAGACGTGTAATGGCGTGAAGCGTGACCTAATCAAACGAAAACATTCAAGACGGGTTTGTTAAGAGTGGCATCCAAATAACGTGTCAATGCGCGTCTTATCACATTTTGGCTCGAGTTTTTTTCAAGGCTCGGGTTTTTTTCTGATCGATTCTAAAATAATTAAGTTTTTTTGTTAACTTTTTTATACTAAATATTAATATAACACTTCTAGAAACTTGATATATTTGATAAAATTCAATAATTATATGGGTTATCTTTTTTATTTATATAAAATAGTCATGCCTTGACGAACCATGCTGTTTTTCAAGGCTTATCATGGTTTAACTTTGATTTTGCCGCCAAACTCACGTCTCACATTATTTAGAACCTTGATTTTATATCATCACTTCAATATGATTGTGTTATTGTCACGAAAAAACCTATGAAATCTTTTTTTGAGCTAATTGGTCCCTAAATTAATATTTGTGCTTTTTAGAATATAAATGTCAACATAACCTGCTAAATTTGTAACAATGGGTGTTATTTCATATTTATAGGTCTATCAACATGTTTGATTTGTATGAGGTGGATTAACGAGATCATGTGCAACATCCCGACTCTCAGGCATTACATTTATATAATTATTTTTGAGATTTAATGAGTGACTCGACGAGTTGTGTGCCCGACTCGTCAAGTAGGGGCGGATTGGCCACATGGATTTAATGGCCAACTCGACGAGTCGGCTCTCGTCGGGTTGGAGTTGTGTGAGGAAACCCTAAATCCAGGGTTGTGACCTATTTAAGGGGCCTTAAGCCCTCATTTCCGCCTCACCAGCCACCTTACTTCCTTGAGAGCAATGTTGTAAAACTCGCCGAGTTAGCCGATTACTCCTCCGAGTACTCGCTACTCGGCCACTTACCGATGCGAGTTAAATAATCCTGAGTACTCCCCGATCGGTCATTTACTAAACTGAGCAGTGTTGTCAAACCCGGTCAACTCGGTGATTAATATGTATAATATATTTAACGATTTATTATTTAACACACACATGTGATTATTAATATATATATATATATATATATATATATATATATATATCTTAAATTTTATGTAATTATTCACGAAGTGAGATCATTATGTGTTTTTCAGTTTTTGTGTATTCACATGTATCTAATTTTGTTATATATTGCAATCAGCTTAAGATTTTAACTTATGATTTTGACATATATAAGTTCCCTAAAAATATTTCTACATGAAATATCGAATCTGAGTACTCCTGAGTACTCGCTACTCGATATTCGGTCGAACAGGTACCGAGTAACGAGTTTTACAACCATGCTTGAGAGAACCCCTAATCGTCCACTTGAGCTATAGAATGAGAGAGAAGTTAATCTTGTGTTTATTAGTGCACTTTTGAAGGAGAATTGGAGAGCATTAAAGCTTGGATCAAGAGGAGGCTTTGGATCTAGAGTTTCTTCAGGGTTTTGCTTCGGATGGAGGTGAAAAGATGCTAACTTGATCATTTCCTTATGAGATATTGGTTTAGGGAGTTTCTAGGGTTTTCTCCCATCCTTTTTGTGTCATTTGAGTCCTTTAAGCATGATTTGAGGTTGAAACCTCAGATCTGGATTGTAGGAGGTCTTGTGAGTCCAAAGACCCGAACTTTATTGAGCTAGAGACAAGATCGTGTGCATCTAACCCTTGTATGAGCTTGTATTGGCATTATGGAGCAAATATGTCATGCATGAACGTAAAGATCAAAGCTTTACGTGACATTCGAGCCCTAGGAGACTAGATCTAGAGTTTGGAGTGGTAGATTTGCCTTAAAACGTCTGAATGAGAATACAGACTGAATGGACTCGTCGAGTCAATAAGCTGACTCGACAAGTCAGCTAGGGTTTTCCCCCGATGAGTCTGGACAAGGGTAGCTCGGCGAGTTGATGAGACAACTCGACAAGTTAAGTTGGGTTTTCGTGATGTTCAAAGGAACAACAAGTACTCGACGAGTCAGGTCAACATGGACCGTTGGCTAGAGTGTTGACTTCTGTTGACTTTAGGGTTTGGTCAAGGCAGGGATTATGTGGACCATGGAGGGGTAAAATGGTCTTTCACCCATCCCAAGAGTTAGAGATGGATTAGCATGAGTCTATATAAAGTTGTGATCTTAATGTGTTAATTAGAGATGCTTACTACGTGTAGGCGGAAATTAGTGTAACACCTGGTTCCTGGTAAGTATTTTTAAATTAAGTACTTTGCATTTGGGCTTGGGACTCGGCGAGTTGGTGGCCTAACTCGTCGAGTAGAATCGGTTTGGACACGGGAGTTAAGTGGTTGACTCGGCGAGTCAGAGATCGGACTCGACGAGTCCGTGTTGTCTGGACAAAAACCCTAATATGAGGGTTTGCACCCTATATAAACGCCTTAACTCAGCCTCCCTTGTCGCTAACACTCTCCTAGAGCTGTATATCGAAACCCTATCCGTTTGTGTGTGTGTTAAGGCCATTTTGGTGCTTTTGTTGACTTGTGAAGCTTAAAAGGAAGAAGAGGAGCTTGAGTATTCGACTTGGGGCTTGTGGATCCAGAAATCTCATCCCATCTTCAGCTTAATCAAGGTAAAATGCTCCTGCTTTGGTCTTCCATTTGGTTATTCATCTTTAGATTGTAGATCTTGGGTGCATTTAGGTCTTTCAAGCCATTTTCGGATTTAAGGATTGTTATGTGGACTCTAGCCTTCAGATATGGGCCTTAAGAGGGGTCTCATGGCATAAAGGTGCCAACTTTAGGGCCATGAGAGCCCCATGCACATAGTAGGACACTTTATATGGATTTTTGAGCTAAAAACCCCATGCATGTGCATCAAGTTTGGAACTTTACGTATAAAATAGACATTAGGAGGCCAGATCTATGGTTTTGGTGTGTTAGACCTCATTTAAATCGACTGTATGGAATTGGTCAAGGTTGGACTCAGCGAGTTTCTCTTGGAACTCGATGAGTCGGTGACCATTGTGCACCCAAACCCTTTATGTGAATGGGTAGGTGTTAGGAAAGAAGTCCCTTATGGGTTTAGACGCGAAAAAGGGACCTGGAAGTCATGGGATTCGACGAGTTATTCATACAACTCGGCGAGTCATAGACTGGAAAAGTTCTTAAGTTGGAGATGAACTCGACGAGTTCAAATAGGAACTCGGCAAGTCGGATGAAGATGGTCACGATGTTATGATCGAAGGAGAACCCGTCGAGTTTTTGCTAGACTCGATTAGTGGAGTCAGGGTTTTGTGTGGGATTAGAGAAGCATGGACTCGACGAGTTGGTAGGCCAACTCGGCGAGTCAGGTCAACTGAATGTTGACTTTAACCAATGTTGACTTTGACTGAACTTGGGCTAACCATGTTTAGGGTTGTATGTGATATGTGTTGACTTGAAGGTTGTCATGTAGGGATCAAGGAGTCATTGGGAGTCGACTTACGCGCTGAGGATAGTTCAGACACTTCATGATATCGAGGTGAGTTACCTTCCAGTAGAAGTGGGTCTAAGGCCACAATGTCGACCCACCAAAAAGGGGTATTTAGAAGATAATGGTCTTTGCGACAATTATCTTGGTCTGGTTATGTGTTGGTTATGAGGTTTATCTGGATAGTATGCTATGTGTATGGTAGGGATTAGTCTCCCTGATAGTGGTCCTAAGGACCCAAGGGTAGGTCAGTACCCGGATATGTCTGACTGCATGCTTATATCTGTTGATTGTATGCTAGTGGTAAGGGTGAAATAGTCCCCAGTTACCGATTGAAAGATATCGATGTTGATTACCGGTTGAAAGATACCGATGATGGTTACCGGTTGAAAGATACCGGTGAAGGTTACCGGTTGAAAGATACCGACGATATTGTATGGTATGTGGTATGATGGGGGAACTCACTAAGCTTTGTGCTTACAGTTTTTTGTTTTGGTTTCAGGTACCTCTTCGTCGAAGGGGAAAGAGCCGACGGTGTAGCAGCGTATCACACACACACATGTTTCCACAAGAAGTTTTTGGGGACTGTACTCTGATTTTTAATACTTATGATGTTATGGTTGGAAATACAACATTATGAATTTGTAATGAAATGTTTTATTGACAAGGTTTTGGTAAAATGTTTTATTAAATGCGTTAATTCAAAAATGAAATTTTTGGCCCTGAAATTTGGGTCGTTACAATTAGGCTATTCCAGGGGTATCCAGTTTCATTGCTTGCTTACGAGGTGAGTCTTCTCACTATACATACCTGAGCGGTATATTGAGTGATCGGAGGGTCTTATTAGAGTTACTGACCAGAGGATCCTATTTATTTATATCGAGTTATGTGATATTACGCATTTTGTCTTTGTGATATATGTTATATTATTCTTTGCCTTACTGAGTAGGATCGGAGGGGCCAAACCAAGTTGTCAGATCGGAAGGTCTTTATTGAGATACAGGATCGGAAGGTCCAACCTGAGTTGTAAGACCGAAGGGTCTTCACTGAGATACATGACCGAAGGATCCACACCGAGCCGTGAGACCAGAGGGTCCATGCCGAGTTATAGTCATGAGAGGATTGTTATTTGTGTATGTGGTATTTTGGGGAACACGCTAAGCTTTGTGCTTACCGTGTTGTATGATATGTATTTCGAGTAATTCTCAGGATCGTGGGAAGGCGTCGTCTTGATTATACACACCGATTTCGAGACCATGTGGATTCTGGGGTGGTGATATTTTATATGGATTTGTGTTGACACTTGAACAATTAATTTTTTGAGAAATACATTATGAGTTTTATGTGTTTTAAAAATAAAAATTTTGGTTTGAAAATTTACGGCGTTACATCATGTAAGCTAGTACATGTACATATGGGTTGACTCGCACTTATCTTAATACTCTATCTAATGTATCCATTCACTACCTTCACATTTTCTCTAATATAACACATTCCACTAGAAACCAACCACCATCCATGGTTATAGACCATAAACTCCCTTGCATCTTCTTCTATAATAAGAGTCCACCACCTTAAAAATCTAATTTCTTCTTTAGCCTCAAAATCACTCTATTTCCTCATAGTTATGATGATTTTTTTTTTTGCAGTTTTGGGCTACCCCCTCAAAAAAATCCTTTGTAATGATTATCAGAAGCATCCTCATTGAGTTCATATGTACTCATCGACATACATGTTTCTATTGTAATTTTTCAAATGTTAACCAAGCCAACATTCCTAAGCTCATCCCAAAAAATAATTAAAAGCTAAGATTATCGTGTGTAAATAACAATAAATGCATGTAAATTTTCGGGTCGACAGTTTGA